AAGGTGCATACAATTAGTCATCAATCAAAGGAAGCAAAGTTTCATTCATGAAAGCAACCAGTAAGAAAAAACGTTTCTTCCATATTAATAAGTTACACTTGAATGTAAAACATATAAGTTCTGCAAATGCCTTCTAAATTGGACAACTCATAAAATCTATCCTTGAAGAAGCACTTTTTACACTATGTTCAGAATTGAAAAGTTTAAACGTGCTGTGCAAGTTCATCAACACACTCAAGAAAAATGGGATGCCCCTTCATAGGAAAAAAAAAAAAAAGCTAATTTTGAAAAGAAATCAAGCTAATTCCGGACCACTCATTGTGGTGCCACGGAAAAATCACAAAATATTGGCAAAGAAGCAACAAACCTGACTAATTGACAATTCAACGACATGCTGCAATGCAGATGCACATCATACACACACGCACACGGGCACACATAGTAAAAACAAGTAGATGCGACAATACAGAGCGGTCATAATAAAATGGAACCACATGCTGCAATGCGGACCTGCCGATCCGCGGAAGGGCAAATCGGAGGGAAGGAATTATGCTTTGCACGTGCATTCACAAAACGAATAAACAAACAAATGAGGAGATTCGGGGCACGCGCCGCGCATCAGCCGTCCAGAGAAGAGAAGCAGCGGCGAGTTAGCAACCTTTCCCTTCCCGCAGTCCACCACCGAGCACCGGCCATGTGCACAGCGCCGCCAAGGAGGTCAGGAAGAGAATAAAATTTGGGGGCGGAGACACGCACGCACGGATCAAACCTGCCCAGCCCACCGGCCACCGCGGCAGAATCCAGGAGCCGGTACGAATCCAGGCAAAAAATGGCACACGCCCACGGACACACGCACGCACGGGAACGCTAGGGACGGAGATCCGCCGGGATCACGATGGTGCGGCTCTCACCTGCGTCCGGAACATGGGCGAGTCATCGAGCTTGGCGAAATACATGGCTGCCGTTGCCGCCGCCACTGCCTCCGCAGTCTCGCCACCTCCCCCTACCAGGCCATCCGCAGGCACGCCGCGGCCCGCGGCGCTCCCTCCTCCGCCGGCTGTGGCTTGCTCCGTACGTCCGACCGACGCCGCCGCCGCCGGGACCCGCGCGAAGGTAGGCAGGTGGGGGGTCGGAGGAGAAGGTGCGGTGCCAGCGGCCTCGTCGCGGCAGGGCGGGGCGGGGAAGGGAATGGCGGCGATCTGGGCGCGTGAGGGGCGGGGGAATTGGTCGGGTGGCTCGGCGAGGAGGGAGGGAGGGAGGGAAAGGGGAGGAGCGGGGTGGTGGAATGCGCAAGAGGGGAGCCTGGGAGGGAATAGCGGTGCGCTCTTTTCTGTCTCCTCGTTCCGGGAGGGAAGAAGAAGAGGAGGGGGTGGCAACCGGTAACTGGTGGCGAGTTAATTCATCTCGCCCCTCTTCGGTTGTCCGGTTAGTTTCGTCGCTGCTTCGTGCCGGCTGATTCAAGTGAGACAAAAATATCGTTTCGATCGAAAATTTACGATCATTTATAATAAGCCATAGCTAAACAAACAGGTTTGGTGGTGGAGCCGGGACGCAGACACTATTCAGCCACTACTAAATTGTTTTCTGTAAGGAGCAGTCAGGAATTGCGCATTTTAAATTCCGTCGTCATCAGAGATGTCATTTTCTGTTTAATGATGCCGTTCTGTCACCGTTAATTAAAGCGTGGTGGGCAGGGTCAGAGTGGCAGCCTGACAAATGGACCGGTTGGTGATCTGCCAATTCGTCGCTGCGTTAGGAGTTGGCGATGGCTGTTTCATTTCAGAATAGAAAGAGAGGCCGTCACTGTCGCGTCAACTGGGCGCTGGGCCCGCCCAGCACGGACACACACCACTGTGCAGTGCTCCTGACGATGGAGATGTCGAGCCGGTCTCGCCTTCTTCGCGTTTTTGCCCCTATATATAAAAACACTGTAGCACAGTGTTAAACTGTTAATGGTGTTACTATCGTATCTGCAGATGATGGGTCACAGCACAGCCCGTCGTTGGATTAATTACACGCAGCGCGCACGAGATTACCATCTGCTACGGAAAAAGGTCCGGGCAGGATTGGATGGCTGCTGCTGCCATCCATCATGCGTGGTTGCCGCGGTACAAGATTACGAGTGGTTGCGCCCACTAATGTGACAGTGACTATGACACCGGCTCGTTTGTTCTGTGAGCCGTACTATTTTAACAAATAAATAGTATTTTTTTCTAATAATAAATCAGTGAACAATGATTTTAGCCATAACTTTTCAGCAAAATCACCGTCACTCAGTCTAATCCCCCTGCTAGCCTGCTAGCGCGAGTGCGACCCGCTCTCTATCTAATCCTGAGAGTCCTGACGTTAACACTAGAGGGCGCACTCAGCGAGGATTGTTTTAAATACGCAGCATTTCGTCTCCATCGTACCCACACCCTGCCTTGAATTGAGTTGATCTTTGCTGAGAGGACAATAGCCCTGTTCACTTATCTTATGAGTCGTACTATTTCAGTAAATAAATGTATTTTTCTCTCATAATAAATCAGTAAATAATATTTTTAGTCATACCATTTCAGCGAAGCGAACAGCGCCAGTGGCCTCAACGGACTAGACGGAGATCAATTTTGAAAAATATATATAATCCAAATTTGTTTTTTAGTGTGTACATAATAAATTTTGCGCGTGGGTGGGCCCGGAAATGTTGGCTTTTTCTTTTGGGGCCCCGCTGGCCCGTTCGTAGATTCCGCGGCCCGCTGTGCGCATCATGGCCCGGAAGGCCGGAAGTCTCGTTCCCGCCACCGCCAGTCCCACTCCAAGACCCCCACCATGAATGACCCATCCACCGCCACTCCTCGCATCAACGTTTTGTTTGGACTCGTCAAATGATGTCCATGATGATTGCTTCGCCCGCCCTCATTTAAATAAAACTAAATGAATTGCTATACTAATAAACAGCAATAAGAGTTTCAAACAATTTAGAGCCAGTTGCTTGTCACCAACTTCTTGAATCTCTAACCTCTAACAAAAATGCGCGCGTAAGACGCCTTCTTCTCCGGCGGATTTCATTTGGCCATTTGTGTATAATAATTATTTTTGTTTTTTTTGGTTGCTTGTGAGCACTGAGAACTGCGTTATCTGCTGATCCAAAATTGGATGCCTCTTTTCTCCTTGCTATATATCGCGTCTTCCTAAGGCACGAAACATGATCGCTGTCTCCTTGCAAGTTAGATGACGTTTGACGAGACACGGGAAGCTGGCAGCTAAGCCAGAGCGAAAAGAAACTAGAGCAGCAGCAGCAGCGCGCCAGCAACCAACTAACCAACCACCAGGACCGGAGTGTGGGAACAGAAACATAGACCACCAAACGGAGGAAAATGCCCCTTCTTTTTTCAGCTGTGGCCTGTGGGTAAGGAAGGCAGTTTACAGTGTACTACTTGGCACTTGGCAGTTGAGACCTATTTTCTTCATCCTTGTCACTCCTGCGTCGTATGCCCAACAGCCTAGCCATTACGGCACCCAAACCCAAAAATGCATGGTTCATGTTGCTTTTGCGGTAATAAACGGGGCGTAACGCCCTTCGCAATTGGCAGAACAGAGTTGCAGGATCCAAGTACAGGTGCTCATAAACCCAAGACCACCATCAGGTACATGTAGTGTTCATATCCACTGCGCAGATGAATTTACGCCCTATTCGCTTGACTTATAAGCCGTATTTTTTCAGCCAACGAATAATATTTTCTTCTCACAATAAATCAGCCAACGGTACTTTCAGCCATGGCTTATCAGCCAAACGAACATGGCATTAAGCTGTGCTCTTCAATTCTCATTTATTAGTAGTACTTGTTATTTTAGTTCTGAAGTCTGAACAAAACGAAACAAGAAAGAAAAAAAAAGCTTGCTTTCCTAGGAGTAGGCATGTTCAGGGGCGGATCTACAGAGGGGCTCCAGCCTCCCTACAGCTGGTGCATCAATGAAAATATAGGGAGGATGAGGGAGAAGAAGAGGTGGAGGAAAGAAGAAAAATAGAGAAAGAAAGAGGAAGAAGAAAAAACCAGCCCCCTCTCAATCCTGTTCTGCATCCGCCACTAGGCATGTTTGTACACAATAGCTTGGAGTGCCTTTGGCCTTTGCAATGCATAGGGTCAGCTCTCCAGGCTTTGTCGACCCCTTTCTTTCTCTCCAATCGCAAGGACATGTCTTCGTCAACTGATTGGTTGTCATGTCGCCCCCGAGACGCCGATGATCACCCCCCACATTTGCTCAGTCTCTTTCTATCACAAAAGGTCTTCAGTTTTTGACATAGATAGGCCTTTGCCTGTGACTTTGTGTCACTTCATGCCAACCTGAGAACTCTAACTTCCTGTACAGCATAATCGCCAACTTCTCAACAAATATTTACCGAATGCTGCTCGGCCTTCCGTTCCCTACTTCACAACTTCATAACAATCACAACTGCCCATCTGTCAACCATACTGGAGATAACCTCGACTACACCCACCCAGGATCATCTGTCAACCATACTGGAGATAACCTCGACTACACCCACCCAGGATAAGGATCATACAATAGACGAACGGGCTCACACCTGATGCAATAAAATAGAAATGATGAATCTGCAGAGCCATTTGGAAAGTGAATGGCTGCTAGCCTGCTACTATTACAACTACAAGACAAACACCCACTAAGAACACTGACTGTTCTATACTCCATCCATTTCAATAGTTTTATAGTCTAATAAACATTATGAGTTTGGTTTCCTATGATGAATGAAGGTAAAAAAAACATGAACGAAAAACTGATCAGTAGCAATATCAACAGAACTTCTCCGCAGTCAACACAATGTTAAATATTGTACCAGAGTAAGACTTACAGCAGGCAGAAAACAACTAATTTGAACGAGGGCATTAGCACACAAAAACAAGTTTGCCACCTTTGGCAGCACACAGGCAAAACATGACTACAGATGTCTAGAGTGTGTGCTTTCTCAACCAAGTCATGAAACTAGCCATGAGCAAAATTCACTTTGGGTAGAGAATATCGTAGTGACCAGGCCGGTAGAGCAAAGTGATGTAAGGTTTCTCGGCAGCAGGAGTAGATGTCATCGCAGCATCGCCCTCGGATGCATTGGCCGAAGGGATGAAATCATGGTGATTCACGCTCAGATTGCCAGTATCACACGAGCTTCGGTCTAGGTACATAACACGGATAGGTACACCTAGTGCATCTGATAGGGCAATTATGTGCACATGGTCACTTTCCTCACCCATAGGTTCCACAGAAGCCTTGCAGAACTGCAAACCAAAATTATAAATCAGGTCATCCTTGCATCTGCATATTTATCAAAATGTTTACTGAAATAGGGTACAGATTCAGTGCTGGAAATAACAGTGTGACTTCAACAATTATTTTAGCTTATTTGCCCACATGGGCAGCAGCATAAAATCTTTCCCTATCATAACATTTGTTACAGAGTACAGACTTACGATAAACTACACCATTGGGGGGAAAAGGTTTGCTCAAAGAGTTGCTACCTCATGATATCTAATCGTCTATATCTGATCTTTAGGTAAGGGAAAACCGCTCTGGAAATAATGGCTACATGTGCTCCATAACAGTTTAAGGCAACAATGAAAAAACATACTGTGATTGCCAATCACCACAGATACTATTCACCAGGGAGCAACAAATAGGATTACAGATTAATGTTACTTGATGCACATAAATGACCATCAATATAATTTATGTAGTCCATACAACATGTAACAACGGAATATGGGACTCACCTGAACCACAGTTGAATTTGTCAAGCCAGATATGAATGGTTCAAAGAAGTCAGACCTCCTTTGAATTTCACCAGAAGTGACAAACCTAAAGAACATGACAACTGAAGACAACAGTGTTAGATAGCAATACCAAGAATGTGTAGAACTACAGAGTTTGAACACTTAGATGTATACAAACCATAATCAGAAACTTGTGGATCCCTGGTTCTTTCTAGAAGCTCTTCAGGCCTAAAGATGTCAGAAAACAAATAGATTTACTAAAGATACACAAACATGATGATAGGTATTGTCATATTTTGTGGAGGGTTCAAAGAAAAATGTGTCTTTGATATCAACAAGTCAACACTTCTTCATTATGTATTCAGGGGACAAAATACAACACTATGATATTTACCCTATAGGAGTTTCATGTCCCTGCAGAACACTTTCCAGCATATCAATGAATATCTGAGCAAAATCAGAGAGCATAATTCAGTATGGGGAGAGATCACAAAATCTATGAGGTGTATTGCAAAAGAGGACTCCCTCCAATCACAAATATCAACAGTTTAGGACATCGACATAGTCTACTAGGTGAACTGAAAAATTGACTATCAATTTCTGTAAAAATATATATCTCTCAAATAGTAAAGTTAGATATAATGAAATTATTTTTCATGATGAATCTAGTACCATGAATTTTATGTTAAACTGCTATTTAAGATTTTCAGTTTTTAACTATTGATGGTCAAAGCACAAAGCTAAAAGATTTGACATAGGACAAACCTAAAACAACATATATTGTGATTAGAGGGAATAAATTGATACTCCCTCCACTCCAAATTATAAGACGTTTTGGCTTTTCTAGATACGTAGTTTTTGCTATGCACTTAGATATACATTATGTCTAGATACATAGGAAAAACAATGTATTTAGAAAAGACAAAACGTCTTATAATTTGGAATGGAGGATTAATCTGTTTTCAAGAAAGTTATATTTCTTACAATTCCAAGCATATATTAGTCAGCAAGGTTCAACTCTGCAATTTTCAACTATCTTTATTTTAACTAAACCACACCAGCATATTTCCAGACAACTAAACACTAAAACATGAGTCACAGTCATCCAGCTCAGTCACAAAGTTTCTGGGTCAATGGGGTTGAGGTACGGGGTCGCGGTACGTGGTACGCTACTCGCGAGAGATTTTTACACTTCGGGTCGAAAATGAACCCATGAACCCGGGTCTGGGTTGACGAACCCAGGTCGAGGGTCAAAGGTGGTGAACCCATTTTATGTGACTATGATCCAGCTGCATTCTATACTAGTACAGTAGAAAACTTTGTGTGACATAATTCATCTAAGACACAACCCAAAAATTCATCTCTCTTATAAGCTGTCTGATGTCTGTATCTTTCATAATTGTGGCGATGACGCAACCCAAAAATCCATCTCTCTCTTATATGCTGCATTCTGTATCGCGGCACAAAATTCATCTAAGACTACAATAACCCAAACCAGCTCTGTTCTACAGATACAGACATCAGACAGCTTATAAGCCAATTCATCTATGCAACCCAAAAATCATCTGGAAACGATCACGGCACATAAGTAGACAAACCCACAAACAGTAGATGACGTAGAGCAAATAAACTGGAATACCGCCCTAACAGAAAACGCATGACTAAGGGAAATATGTGAAAATAACCGTTGAATAAACTTACAGCAAAGAAATCCTCAAAAGTGAACTCAATATATCCAAGAGACAGGAGCGTCTTCTTGCATTCCTCAATTTTTACCATGATGCGATCAGCCTCAGCTTTGTCTTGTGTCTCTAGGATGTGTTCCTGGCAGCAAATATAAGATAGGATCATCGCCACAATTATGAAAGATACTTGTGAAAAGCATACTGCAGATACTACCAAGTAGGAAAACATAAAGCTTCGATAAAAGCAGTTTCCATCTCCACGTGTCCGTCTTAAAGCACCATATTGTTCGCCAAGCAACTACAAACAAAGTAGGAGACTAATTGAACAAACTAGACAATGCATGTTACATATCCACATAAAATGCAGTAATTACATATAAGATTTGCCAGACACAAGAACCTTAATTTTCTCTTGTAAAATTGGGCTGCCAGACTGAAACTCGGCTGCTAAAGAGGAGAGAGGTTCCTGCAACATTTACAAGTTGCATAATAATTAGTTAATTAGTATGGAAACCACCATGACAATCAGAACATGTTAGCCTTCATAACAGCTCAGAAACGTTTCTAATCATCAAGGAAAGGTGATTAAACATCATCACAAGATGCTCTTTTTAGAACCAGAAACAAGCCACTGTTCCATTCTATTGAAATGGGACATGAGGACAGCAGTTTTCACCCAGTTCAAACAGACCACCTACTAACATGGCGCAGCCCAGATAACACCAACCAACAGGTGACCATAAACAGCGTAAGCAAAACACAACCCAACTTAATCTTGGTACAGGCTATGAACTTTTGAAGCAGCCCTGAAACTTCAGTACATAGCAAGACAAGCTCAAATCAGAGTTTATAACCAACTGGTCGACTTAAATAACAGATCAATCTCAATATACTGTTCCATATGCTAAAAGAAACACGTGGCAGGTTTTTGGCTAGACAACGAATCCGTCTATAGAAGGGCGGGCCTGGTGCAAGCGGTAGAGTCTTACTGCCTGTGACTGGAAGGTCCCGGGTTCGAGTCGCGGTCTCCTCGCATTGCACAGGCGAGGGTAAGGCTTGCCACTGACACCCTTCCCCAGACCCCGCACAGAGCGGGAGCTCTCTGCACTAGATACACCCTTTTTAACGAATCCGTCTACAGTAGCTTGAGTATCGAGAATAAGCAGAGCAACTAAAATGTTCTGGAAACGAACCAAACAGTAGGCATAAACAGGGGTAGGCAACAAAAGACTCCAAGATTATCCACCACCTCCTACAGATAACTCTATTTGACACTTTCTAAACTTAAAAAGGAATAGCATACTTTAGTGGGAACCGGACAACTTAGGGGATACATTTTTCACTTCAATTGATCATACAAGAAAATGGTGTACCAGTTTCTCTGTCCAGTAGTCCCCTATCAACAAATATGGGAGTCTAAAGGAGAAGTTCTCACTGAAATCACACCTTTTGAGCCATAACCTCCTTTTCATCCTAGACTAGAACAAAACACCCCCCATCATCTCCAAAACTACATCACTCATGCTTACCAGCAAAACTCGAACACCAAGTAACCAACATTCAACTGCGCTAACACCAAGTAACCAACATTCAACTGCACTAGAGTACTGTCCCCGCAATCTGATCCCACCAGAGCCGTAGAGACGGCCACGACATGCATTTCCACTAGATCACTGCAACTCTGTATATATAACACTAAAGCGTGATGGAGACCCATCCCAATACACGGCGGGCCAACCAATGACCGATCGCGGAGAAGCGAGGATGGCGGGGGACAGAGGGGCTCTCCCTCTCTCACCTTTTCCCCAACGCACGGCAGCTTGGGCCCCTCGGGGATGTCGGGGTCGGGGTCGCCGCAGCAGGCGCGGTAGTAGTCCCCGCCCATGGAGAGCTCCACCGACACGGGGTCCGAGCAGCCGCTGAGGCTCGGACTAGGGTTATGGTCCGGCCCCGCCCCCTCCTCCAGTCCTCCTCCTCCTCCCGCGGCGTGCGGCGCCTGGAGCACGTCGCCCATGGCCGCGTCCTCCCCGGGGGCCGGCGCCGCGGCGACCTTCTGCAGCGGTGGTGGCGTCGGGGACCTCGCCGCCGTCCGCCGCCTTGCGCTTCCGGGCGCTCGCGTCGGCCGCCTCGCGCGCCAGCTTCGCGGGTTGGGGTTGGGGTGGGCGTGGGGTTCGGGGTGGGGGTGGGGGCGTGGCGGCTTGGATTCGGGTGGGGAAGCGGCGGCAGGGCAGCGGAAGCCTGCTTCTTCTGATCCTGCGGTGCGTCGTCTCTTCCGAGATCTCGGCGCAGGTGGAAGCGGAGATACGTCCGTGTCGTTTTGCGGATAAGCCCTTGTTGTTTACCGTTTACTAACGTCTAACCCCTCTCTCCAACTGGATACGTTTAGATTGCAAATTTTTGCAATTGTTTACCGTTTCGTCATCACTAACGTCCGATCATGGACTAACTAGGCTCAAAAGATTCGTCTCCAACTGGAATTATTACTTTTTTACCTACGTTTAATGCTCCATGCATGCGGGATGTGATAGAGAGAGAATGAAAAAACTTGGAACTTTGATGTTATCTAAACAAGGCCTGGATATACTCACGTCAGACTGACATGCGGGGGTAGCTCAAGCACGGTCCCACCTGCCACACTGATAAAGCCGGCGGCGACTTTCCAATTGGCTATGGGCTGGCTACCCGAGTACCCGCCGCTACCCCAAGAGGTCAAGATTTTTTTTAATTTTAACACTTTTTGAAAACTAATTTTAAATCTAACATGGTCGGGTTTTTTAAAAAAAACTAACACTTTTGGCGCGCCTATTGCCTTGGCTCGGCCAAATTTGCGTCATGTATGGTGGCGCCATGGGGCCGATGGCGGCGATTGGAATTGGACCGATCACGACGGGGCGGGGCCTATCGCGCCATTGACCTTGGCGCTGCAAAGGACGCGCTTGATCCGTGGGCGCGCCTGAGCCGAATAAAACCCACCCCGATCCCCTTTGCCCGCTACCGCCCGTGATGCAGCGGCGATAGAGAATTTGATAAGTCAATAATATTTTTTCCGTCTTTCATAATACGGTTAACCACCGTGTTAACTAATCGATTACGAAAAATTGGATCGGATTGAAACAAATATTTTTTAAGAGAACTTATTTCTTGGGCTTTTTGGCCCCATATTGTAAGATTGGCGGCGACGCGACCATGGACCCCGGCTTCCTCGACCCCTCGCGCAAGACGCTGGCCACCGGCGTCGAGATACCCCGAGACTGTCGGTTTCCGAACTAGTTGCTACTTAATCTAGCATGCAGTGATGCCGCGACGCATTGAAACGAATATGAAGCAATTAAATAAAGTTCGTGCGCAAGTTGACAAGCTACCACATAATATTTTCATTGGTTTGATATAAGTTCGACATAGCATAACCAACTTAGCCTGCAAGTTTCGGATGCCAATAATGGTTCGACCTAACAAACTAAGACCTAGAAGTGTAAAGATCCATCGGACGCCTCTGTCTCTTCGGATTTGTTGGCAACACATTGGGAGTGTAGCCAACGTCGGTGTGGTTGCGTTGCCGGTGCGTACGGCTCGTACCCTGTAAGTATATGATATGCATGATTACTTAGAATTCTTTATGATCGTTAGTTCATGTAGCCTACGTATTTAAAGAAACTACCTTTGTTAGTACCTGTGAGGCTCTTTGGGTACCAAGCGAGGTACCACCATAGCTGAGACATGCCGATCTCATCCCACTGGTCGTGCTGTCTGCAGAAGCCCGGGGGGTCATCATCGTCGTCATCGTCGTCCTCGTCGTCCTCAGTTGTAGGGTCCTTCCCAGCGCTATGATGTGGTGGTGTACGCACCGCGGAAGTGACACCTGTCACCGGCTGAGAAGAGCCGGATGGTGTCCTCAAAGAGGCTGAAGATGTGCCACCCGACCGCGCGGGGAGTGACGGTTCCTCATAAGGAGTGTCCATGCAGCTTAGCTTTTGAGCTAGTTTCCTGCAGCTCTTCTTCACCTTCTGCATAAATAGACGTTAAAGTTAGTGCATTTTCTAAACGCATATACACTAAAGAAACAATTTTTGGAACGGACTAGTTTATGTTTACCTCCACAAAAGCCTCGAGAACGCCTGGCCCCTGCCCTCTAGACTCATGAAGCCGGAACGTTGCTTCGTTGGACAGCCTCGACAATTGTGTCGCTTGGGTACAGAAACGCGGTTGAACAGTTTTAGTATACATACTTAATACCAAATGGATAATAAATTGTACCATTCAAGTATCTTATCACGTATCTTTGTAGCGGGGCTTTCTATAGCTGTGTGTCCTCCCTAGTGGTAACGTCGTACACATCTTCGATGACATTTTCCTCCGAGTCCTCGTCAATCGCCTCCTCAGTGTACGGAGGCTTGATATGTGTCCTCGTAGACCTGTAAAGCCACTGCAGGTACTCGTCGAAGGTGTGCTGGTCTTGTGGAGGACCCGCATGGACCGGCTGTCGTTCCCTCGTCTCCCACAAGTGGATGTGCGCGCTGTGTGTCACGCGCCAATCCTTGGTCTTATACCTCTTCCTGTAGTCATACCTACAACAAAACGATGTTAGTTGTACCACACACACCTCTGAATTGTACCTTTGTTATTAATCGATAACGCACCCGTGCAATCTTTGGTTGGTGGAGTAAAGCGGTGGTGGGCAGCCTATCATTCTTCCAAACTGTCTGCAGACCCTGACAGGTAAGTGAATCTCGACCACATGGAAGAAAATAAGAGGGACGTCGCAGCGATACTCGTGTGACTCGTCTCTAGTGACAGGACTGAGATAGTACTGGAGCTCCGGAGCATCCCAATGACACTAATGCACCTGAAATTTCGTAATTGAGTTAGGCTGTGATATAGTGTAGATAAAAAAGACACAGGTATGATATGAAAGAGAGTGTAACCTGGTGTTGTGTCAGGACGTCGAGACCGTCCGTGTACTCCATGTACTTGCGCCTCGCATTCCCTCTAACTAACTATGATTCCGTCCAGATAAACAGAGTTGTAGGGAGTGTATCCTGCCCGTTCCATTGTTGCATTGAACACGATAATGAATTAACCATTAATAAACTCATCATATGTAACCATATCGAAAAATATAATGAACCGAAGTACTTACAGGTAAACCAGAATTAAGTGGCCTCCCAATGGGCCATCGTTTCCAACACCAAACCTGGAGTAGGTATGAGCAACCCCTAAGGTTCGCATACCCTGAGGTGCGACGGCAGACAATGCATAGCTGTCGATACGTCTATGTCAGGATTTGCGCTGCCCCAGCTGTACGTCGCTATGTTCTCCCACGGTTGGCGTAGTATGTTAAGGAAGATTCAGCTGATGGTGTTGCCCGAGGCGTCTGGGAAGAGGAAAGCACCAAGAAAGTGCCAGAGCCACATTCAAGCGAACCTGTCGATCTGAGCCTCCTCAGCCTGTGGGTCTAAGTAATCAAAGCGCTCCGTGATCCAGGACAACGAAACACCGGAAGTTTTTCTGAAATTGACCAAAGAAAATGAGACCCGATGGCTGCAGAAAAGCATTGCAAGTATTAAATAGGCTTGAATTTCTCACTTATTTTTCTTGGAAGCCTCGTCGTCCGGTGGAAGAAAGCCAGTAAATTGAGCCAACAGCTCCCTCCAGTGATCGTTGTCAACTATCCCTATCACTGGAAGTCCCCCCAATCAAAGGCCAAAATAGCCTTCACGTCCTGCATGGTCAAAGTCATCTCGCCACAAGATAGATGGAACGTGTGGATCTTAGGCCTCCACCTATTATAAGAATAGAACGAATGTTAGTTGCCTTAAATTTGTTACAAGAAAGTTTACGTACAAAGAATGCACTCACACCTGTCTACAGCTGCAGTAAGTAGTGTTGGGTCAAGAGACGGAAGACCGTGGTTGACAACACGGACAAGCTCAAGGAAGCCGGTACGCCGTATGTATGACGCATAACGCTCGTCCCACTGGTGCGCCCTAGTGTGCGTGCGGGGCCTCAAAGTAGGCAAGACCACCTCTGCATCGTTGTCACTCAAGATGTGTGCTCGGTGCTGGTCGTCGTACTCCACCTCAAGAATTAGGTACAACGGGTGTTGCGTGGGAGGGGCCATACTGTTACAAATTGATAAACAAAGCGTTAAAGTATTCAAATTAACAAAATTCAAATTAACATTATGTAGCATTATAAAATTTGAACTACTTGCTATGCAATATGAAAGCACATGTATATATTCAAAGTAAAATTAACAAACATATCACACACTAGTAACATAAACAACCTCATTAGAAATATAAGCATTTGACGAAACATCACGAAATCATCAAAATCGACGTATCACGTACTAGTAAGTACCGACATTTGTAAACTAGTATCTATATTCAAAATCCCTAACTAAATAACTAACTATAAACTAAATAATAAATACCTAATCAATCCATAAACCCAAAATCCTAACCTAAAACCTAAAAACTACCTACGTAAATCACATACAAATTCACTAACCTAACTATCATAAATCAATAACAATCATAAAACCATAACTATCATATATTACTAATTATCCTAAATCACTAATTATCCTAAAACAATAATAATCAAAATAACATGAAATCGAGATGGAGGTACCTTAGGAGCGGGCGGCGTTAAGGACCTGCCGCAAATGTCATGCGCGACTGTTAAATATTCATTGGGCGCTTTGGCGCTGATGAAGCATCTTGGTGGCGGCGGGTGATCTGCGGCGGCGAAGCGCGCGGGCAAGGGTGCGTCTTGGCGGGGGCTCGCTCGCGATATTTATTTGAATGCTCGGTGGTGGCGTGTAATAAGATCGGTGGCGCGGCAGAGCCCTGCCATGTTAGCGATTGCGATTCCGGTCGTCGCGACGTCAGACCTCTGCCGCACCATCATGCATGGCGTGGCACAGGCATTTGGCCGCGCGCAGGCTAATAGGCGCGGCCAAAAGTGTTAGTTTAAAAAAAACCGACCATGTTAGATTTAAAATTAGTTTGT